GACCCGAAACGTTAATTCTGTTTTCTCCTCCACAGATGCTGCCAGACCTGCTGAGCTTTTCCAGCAACTTTGTTTTTGTTCCACTCATTTTTAGGTTAAAATTCACTCTTATGCTTCCATTATCCTTTTTTCCCATTCCTTTTTTTGTCAGATTTGATATTTAAGATAACACCCAAGTTACAACCTACAAAATTTGGAAAAACTGACAATCACTTACAAAATGTTGAATTTCTCCTTGTCCCTCGCTGCTAACTTATCCAAGTCTTTTAATTACACCAGCCCTGAAACTTTTGCAGTTTCCTTTACCATTTTCACAAACTCATTCAAACTTTCTCTACCATGAAGCCTACCTCCTGATCACTCAATGATAGAAGCTGATGAAGTCAGTGCTGTGCATAATAGAGTGTGTTCACACACTGCAATCTCAGTGCACATGGACTAAAGTCACAAGTTCCTTCCTCACAGTTCGCCAGGCACTCTCAACTCTCTAAAGGCACAATCCTATCTCTCTATTGTAAAGATACATTCAAAACATTCCCATCTTACTGCTGTCGATGCTGTACCTGGATGATCCCCAAACCCACATACTGAGTGCAACCAGAAATCCTGAATCTTTCTCTTTCTATCATAAGCTCTTTTTCATTCTGTTAGTGGCTTTTCATTCTGTAACATTCAGCTTTCAGCTATTGTGGAATGCTTAGGTCATTTATCTTTTATTGTTTAAAAAAAATGTCCATTGCCAAGTACATTAAAGTTATTAAAGCAGGGTCCGACAATGATTTAGATAACACAGTATGGAGCTGGAGGAACACAGCAGGCCAGTCAGCATCAGAGGAGCAGGAAAGCTGATGTTTCGGGTCGGGACGTCAACATTTCTGAAGAAGGGTCCCGACCCGAAACGTCAACTTTCCTTCTCCTTTGATACTGACTGGGCTGCTGTGTTCCTCCGGCTCCACACTGCGTTATCTCTGACTCCAGCATCGGCAGTTCTTACTATCTCCTACAATGATTTATGTTGTTACCCAAGAAATGATTTTTTGCCACTCCAGCCTGACGCAATTACTGAGGAGAAGTAAAGATAATTCACTCTCAACATGGTGACAAGTGGTCAGAAGAGATGGTGGCTGTAGACTATTAGGTCATCCAAGCACAATGTGGAAAATTTAAATCTCACACTAATGTTTATCAGCTAAAGCTGACCAGGGTCAACAGCTAAAAAAAGTTTTAAAACTATGAATAAGTGTAATTGTTCTCTCCCTGATGTAAGCTGCTACCCACCAGTTTCCTGCTGTTTTGCCCAGTTACTACCTGGGGATTTCTGAAACAAATCAGCCTGAAGCACAACTTAAGGAAATTCTTTCTATGTTTGGTTCATCAACAAATAATGCCCCATGGAGGTGCATCTTAGAACAGCTGTTAATTGGTGCAAAACATGATTGGTTGGCACATATAGCAATCAAAGGTTACAATTAAATTTCAAATTTCGTGATATATGACCTTTATACATTAACACAATCTCACACATACACTTATAATGACTAAATTACAGCTTGATCCTCATGTTGTAAATATAAGTAATTACAGCCACGGGTTGAAACTAATTTTTGATAACATTTATGCATGTTGGCACCAGTACATTTTCTAACGACCTCTAAATGTATGGAGAATTGTTTTCTCTGTTTCACTTTTCAGCAAAATTATAAACAAAATTTTGAATAATCAACAATGTCGCTGCACCCCTAAAGCAGAGCTGCCCACAAAGGAGCAAATGACTTGTCTTGGTCAATTGGTACATTCATTTAATAAATAATTATGCAAGCGAATCTTACAAATCAAAGTGACTACACTTCACTTATTATGTGACAACACCTGCCCATTTACCTCCTCCCTCCCCACTATCTAAGGGCCCAATCATACCTTCCAGGTGAAGCAACACTTCACCTGCACTTCCCAGAATCTAGTCTACTGTATCCACTGCTCACAATGTGGTCTCCTCTACGTTGGGGAAACAAAGCGTAGACTGGGTGCCTGCTACGCAGAACATCTACGTTCTGCTTGCAAAAAAAGACCCTGATCTTCCAGTTACCTGCCACTTTAACATATCACCCTGTTCTCTGGCCAACATCTCTGTCTCTGGCTTGCTGCAGTGTTCCAACGAAGCTCAACGCAAGCTGAAAGAACATCACCTCATTTTCCGCTTTGGGACCCTGCAGCCCTCCGGACTCAATATCGAGTTCAATAATCTTAGGGGCTAAACTTTCCCATGTCCTAGCCCCCTACCCCACACACCAGGCCTTGTTACCACATAGCCTGCCATTACACACCCCTGTTGTCAGTCACTAACAGTCCCCATTAACAGCTATTCACCCTCCCAGCCAGATCATTATCAACTCCTTTATCTATACTCTCTCTCTCTTCGGGCTCTATCCTTTATCTTATCGTTTACTCCCTACCCTATCCCCCTCCCTATTTTCCGCATATAAACCAACATTTTCCCAGCTACCACCAATTCTGAGGAAGGATGACCAGACCTGAAACGTTAACTCTGGCTTTTTTCCACAGATGCTGCCAGACCTGCTGAGCTTTTCCAGCAACTTCTATTTTTGTTCCATCACTTATTATGGTGCTCCAAATTAACTAATTTGGAAAAATAAGAAACTATCAGTTGATTTAGTTCAGATTTATCAAAAATCCACATTTTTAAACTGAACACAGGTTTCAACTGTAGCTGTAATTACTTATTTACACAATTTAAACAGAAATTCCATCTAAAATAAACAAAATAATTTTCCAGTATTATCATTTTCACTTACCACAATTCATCTCATCACTTTTATCTTTGCAGTGAAACCAACCATCACACTTGTTGCTCATGAGCTCACATTTTCCATCTCCACATATGTGCATTCCTTTGCATTCTGTAACACAATGCAAGTGGGTAGTATATTGCATGAAATAAGATGAAGGCTTTTGTTCACATTTTTCTGTCCTTACTGCGCCTAAATTACTGCCTAGGTCCCAGCCAAAGACAGGTATACAACTTTGTCAAGAACTTTGACTGTGCCACTATTAAGAACAGCCACTACGAGGTATCTGAGTGCACACTAGGTCAAGTGGTTTCCATCCTGAGCAAACAGTAGGCTGGTTGAGATTACAGATACGTTAATCACAGCCATCACTTCAACCACGTGGAGGCTCTTGTCGCACAGTGGTAAGGTCCCATCCTCTGGGCCAAAATTCAAGTCCCATCTGCTCCAGAGGTGTGTTATAACATGTTCAAACAGGATGATTAAAATAACTATTAAAATTTTAAAAATCGCAAGGTTGGAAATGAAGGAGAAAGAATGGACAGCGATAGGACAGAATGAAAACTGAGAATGGAAGTGGGGTGGGGAGCAGAAGGAGAATGACGGTATGAACTAACGATGGAGATAACCTGAATGAGGATAAATAGGATTGAATTTTTCCATCCCTATGGTGACGGGTTTGGAGATGGAGAAAGCCGTAACAAGGTCCAATCTTGCTCTTTTTTGCAAACAGAATGATGCCTCGCATTCTGCAGAAACCGCCATCAGAATGGTGCCACTGAGGTCATCAGGACCACAGGCTCCATGTATCAAACAGTGCACTGCAGCTATTGTCTCCATCAACCCACCCACAGGAGTTTATCCTTTACTTTGATAGGTCTATTGCCTTGACCCTAAATATTTTAGCAATTAGTTTTGACCATTTAAAAACGTTATGCTAAATTGCTACGAAAAAAATTACTTATTTATTTCCTATAATCTTTTGTAACGATATCCTTGAATACCGGTTTATTATTTTGCAAATCCATTTATGGAACAGAATATGTTACATCTTAAGTATGTAAGCCAAGCATAGCATATTTGTATTTAAACATGAGTAAAAATTTATTTCTAATTAGAGTGAAATACTGCAGATTTGAAATAGAAACAAAGTGCTGCAGAAACTGAGCATGTCTGACAGCATCTGTGGAAAGAGAATATTCCAAATAAGAGTCAAATTGGGTGCAAACCTTTAATTTTCTCTGCACATGTTGGCAGAGTACTTCAGTTACTCCAGCATTTGTTTTCAATTTATTTCATATGTACGTGACAGGTTAATTTATGGAAAGGAATCCTGCAAGAATTACAGAGTTACACAAGCCTAACACTAAATGTAAATATGATCAAACAGCAGGACTTTATTTGGTAACCTTAAATAAGATTTTAAAGTTTTGGCAAATAAAGGAATATGCAAATTAATTAAATCCTTAACTTTTTTTTAAAAATCACTTTTGGTTCTGATTATAAAACCCCTACCATAACAAGCTGAATAATTAAAGGGGACTTTGGCAGAAATGCCATGAAAACATCGTGGAAATGCTATGAACCCAATTTACACCATCCCCTGAGGTATTTCGTGATGCATCGGTGAAATTGTGACAGATTAGTAGGAGAATCCCCAGTGTTCTAGTTCCATTTTGTAGATAGGGCCTATCCCTGTTTAAGCCATGAAAAAAAATTATAAAATATACCATTTTTGCTCAATGTTTGACTTTAAGATGGGGCATATAAGGGTGGGTGGAGTTTTGAATGGAATCCTGAACAAATTTCTTGTTCTGAAGCTTGGCTTTTTCCGAGCTGCATTTAGTTCGAATCTGTCTCTTGTCTAAAACCAGTGGGAGATACCTGAAGCTTACTGGGAGTCTAGATCAGGCTAACAGGTGGCAGAAGCAGGCTAGATCAGGGCAAAAGAAGCCCAAGATTTCTTTGTTTGGTCAGGAGAAGCAGATTTACTCCTGGACCACAAGAAACTTTTCAAAAATTTAACAAACTATTTACCCGCAGTCTTATGGCTCAATGTTGCTTGCTGCCAGCTTTCACTGATGCTTTGGAAACAATATTAAATTGGCAGTGAGTTCCAAATTAAGTCATTAATTGTTGACAGTTTGATTCAGTGATACAGTGAGAATTCAGCACTTTATGACTGACTACCTATAATATCCCTCCTGCCTGCACCTTTTTTGTTGGGCAAACAGGATTACTTTATCTTGTACCTCTCACCACGGGGGATATCTGGAGTCTTATTATTTAATGATGAGCTCAACATTGAATAAGGTACGGTAAAATAGAATAAAACTGGTTCACACTCTTTAGTTTTACTAAGGCAAACAAGTCAGGTAAGTGTAGACTTTTTTTTTATAAGTTACACATATCTACATCTTTTGGTGAGAAAATACTGATTATGTTGAGCAGATTGCTTTTTTGACATGGTAGCTGGTAGTATCAACTTGCCTATGAAAAATGGAATAAAACTATTTAATAATAGCTAATTCCAGGAACTAATTCAGAATGTGTAAATGTGTAAGCGAAAGTCACATGACAATCCGAGATGTAGAAATATTGGACTTACGTACTGGAAAATAACTGCATCTTCTTGCGTCTATGACATTGGATATATTAAAACAAACTTCGGTTTGATACAAAAGTAAGTACAGTTTACTCCAAAAGAGAGTAGTTTGATGATTCGAGATGATTAGAGCCTCTGTATTCCTTTGGCCAACACCTGGTTCAGCTGACAACCCATCATGGTGATGCCATTTTGTCGACTGGTTTGAATTTGATCCATTTTCATAACATGCTGTACCTAGCAAAAGTGGCTAAGAAAGCCTCACCCATATCAAACTTGAAACACAAGGTTTTAACACCATATTACATGACTTACTGAGTTCGCTACAAGTGCTCACCTTCTTCAGGATCAAAGCTGCTGTATTCAGCACGAAAACCAAGATTACTGGTGTAAAAGTCTGAGTGAAACTGTACTTTTAGAACATTAGAGACACTAGGCACCACCAAAGACCTGGAGTGTTCACCGCAGTATCTAAATAAAGAGAAGCAGTCACTGTAACCATAAACTGTGAAATTATGTACCATAAATCCATATCAATAATAATCATAAATCCATATAATTACACATATGAATAATAGGGGTGATCCCATATGATACATAAATACAAAAAATATTGGCGATGGCTCACTAAAGTGCATTCTGCTCTGATTACATGATCAACTGATGCAGTGGTAATGAAGGTGATTGCACAGAAAATCAAAGATGCATGTAGCAAGAATGCTTTAGTAATTATGGGTGACTTACATCTCATGTAGGCTATATGAACCACATTAGCAATAATACTGTGGGATTGAGTTCCTGTTAGGGAACAGGCTATCCTACATTTGGTTTTGTGCAATGAGAAAGGGTTAATCAATAGCGTTGTTGTGAGAGCACTTTTAGAAAAAGTGAACATAATATGATGGAAAGCGAAATAGTACATTCTGAAACTATGGTCCTAAATTTAAACAAAGGAAACAATGAAGGGAAGAGGGTAGGTTGGTTCCATTAGAATGGGTAACTTCCCTAAAAAGGCATGGCTAGTGGATGGACAGTGGTTGATACTGAAGGAATGAATGTACGCATTACAATAGTTGTACATTTCTTTCAGGTAAAAAAATGCAACAAAAAGCATGACCCAACCCTGGTTAAGGATATTAAATACAGATATTAAATCTTGCTCTTGCTAGTATTTTGTTGACCCTCAGGTTAAAGTAATTATCAAAAGCTTTCACAACTTCATCAAAAACTACCAGAGAAAATTCTGAAGGAGAAAATTAATCTCCACTTGGGAAGGCAAGGTTTGATCAGGAATAATCAGTATGGTTTTGCCAAACAAATTTCACTGAATTCTTGAGGAGGTGACCAGATGTGTAGATGAGGGTAGTGCAGTTGATGTAGCTTTTACATTTATTTCAGCAAAACTTTTGACAAGGTCCCACATAAGAGTAAAAGGGTAAAAGTACAGGTGATCCAAGTAAGTCCACAAATGACACAAAGATTGGCCAGATGGCCAGTGGTGAGGGAGAAAGCCTTAGATTACAAGAGTAGATAGATGGATTGGTTAGATGGACAGATCAGTGGCAGATGGAATTTAATTCTGATAAGTGTGTGCTGTTCAGTACATAACATGACAGCACATAACAAGACAGGGGAGTACTTAATGATTCATAGGACACTACGAAACTCAGAGGGATCTTGGGATGCTTGTCAACAGATCCCTGAAGGCGCAAGACAGGTTAATAGGTTAGTTAAGAAGATATACGGGACACATGCCTTTATCAGTCGCGGAATAGATTTAAGAGCAGGGAAGCCATGTTGGAGCTGTACCAAACTTTAGTTAGGCCATAGCAGAGTACCGCATGCAGTTTTGAACACCAGAAGGATGTGACTGAACTGGAGGGGTGCAGAGGAGATTCACCAGGATGTTGCCTGGGATGGAACAGTTTAGTTGTGAAGAGACCCTAGGGAATAAGCTCAGGTTCTTTACTTTTAGAGAAGGCAAAGAACAGACCCAACTGACGTATATAGATTATGAGGGGCATGGACAGGGTGGATAGAAAGTAACTGTTTCCTGAAGTTAAAGCGTCAGGAAGAATCAGTAACAAGGCAGCATATTTGTAAGGTGTAAGACAGGAGGTTTAGAGGGGATTTGAAGAAAGATTTTCACCCAGACAATGGTGGAAATCCGAATGTCTATCCTGGAAGGGTAGTTGAGACAAGAAACCTCACAACCATTAAAAAGTACTTGGATGAGCACTTGAAATGTCTTAACATTCATCGCTACTGGCCAAATGCTGGAAAGTGGGACAAGTGTAGATTTAGCACAGTTTTTGTCAGTGCAGACTCAATGGGCCAAAGAGCTTCTTCTGTCCTGTATTATTCTATGAAAAGCTCTGATGCTCCTTTTATGCCCTGGCAATGGATAACTTCATCAGCTGTAGTTCCACTCAAATACAACGGTGTATTAACTTGTTCAGTTTCTCACTTATTAGCTAGTTTGGAAGTAAGTTTGTATCTTAAGAATTGCTTTCTCTAAAACGTCCAATTCTGTGAACCATTTGGCCCAGCATTAAATTGCAGAATCTCATGTCAGTCCCTTCTGTCCCCTGAGTTAACTGGAGAAGATTTTCTTGTCTTAAGTGGGGGCAGAAGCAAGGTGTCACCCATGATTAAGTGGGACTGGCCACCATGCTTCCCACTGTGGAAGACTGCAAAAAATCCAATTCCATAAATGAATTCACTGGAAAAAGGGAACATTGCTTTCATTAATTCAGTAGAAGCGGACATCTACATATGTGCATAAACGTATGTATAAGTTGTAGGTTGGACCATAAGACAGTAGAATATTGAATCAGATTTTATGGTTCAGATGGCCAATATCAAAAACAAAAACATCCAAGTAACACATTCCATTAATGTCTATCTCAATCTCCCTTTTTTTTCATGTTACATAATTTCATGGGCAGTCTGTGTCACTATTACAAAATAGTCAAATTTGAATTGCATGTGCATCTTTTATCTTCTATGTTTGAATCAACTGCCTGGTTCTAGAGGTACTGCAAACAAAAAAATACTGGTCCACTTGTGCTGATGGCATCAAAGTTGACATGAAATTACAAGGTAGCCAATGCCAAATGATGTTAACTGGTTGAAATGACTGTGTCTCAGTACACATTGTGACTGTTGTGTGGTATCAAATCTGTCCAAGGAGTGCATGGTGGTATGGGATTAAGCAGGCAAGGATGATATTTACTACATGGAGAGTCTATCACTGGCACATGCCTTTATAAATACGGAGTAATGCATCTAATAGTTAGTAACTAAAGTGGATGAACAATGGCAATGTACAAGTCAATGGAATTCATGCCAAGGGCTCAAGCCAAAATGAAACAACCAATAAAACTCATCACAATGCAGAAAGGTTAAATACAGCCACTGGATTATTTTTATTTCAATGTTGTAATATGAATTAGTATTGATGCTGGATGTAAACATTCTATGGGTTTATTTTTCCCTGCATTTCAATAGCTGTTTTGTGCTTTTATGTAGAGGGGCATACACCAGGTTCTCATGAAGAAATCTTGAATGTATTTGTGCATAGGGTTCCAATAATTTCTAACTTGCTTCTGGTTGGTTTCTACAGAACCCAGGCTATGTCCTGAATTAGTAAGCTTAAAAACATGTCTGTATAAACACAGCACAGAACATCAGTCATTATATTAAACAAATACAAATCCCTCTGTGCTAACAAATATTCCTTCCTTCTTTTCTTGGGTCCTAGAAAAGGCAGTGGTGTGTAGTAAAGCAGCTGATACTTTCCCAGACACCACAGCTTTCCACTGAGCTTTTAGGGTCATAGTCATAGAGATGTGCAGCACAAAACAACCCTTTGGTCCAACTCATCCAGTCCGACCAGATATTTTAAATTAATCTAGTCCTATTTGCCAACATTTGACCCATATCCCTCTAAATGTTTCCTATTCATATACCATCCAGATGCCTTTTAAATGTTGCAATTATACCAGCCTCCACCACCTCCAACTGTGAAAACATCCTTGTAAATCTTTTCTGAACCCTTTCACATTTGACAACATCTTTCCTATAGCAGGGAGACCAGAATCTGAAATTGCTAGACCATATGGGACATGCAAAGGTGATAGCAAGGGTCACAGGCCACGCTGGGGTTGAGATATAACTGGGTACTTCAGATTGTCAGCAGACAGAAGAGTGTTGAATGCCCATAAATGCAGAATGGAAGCTGAGCTTGTATGGAAGGCTCAATAAGCTGGTAACTAACATTGTATAGTGGCTGCCACATGGAAGGGTCACTTCAATATGCAAGAAAGTACTTCAAAGAATGAACGAAAGGTTGTCCTTAATTCGGTATTGTGTACAAAAAATGAGCAGATTTCCTGGTGTATTTTGTGACGGTTGCAGCAGCTGCACAGAATATAAGAAGAATTTGATCATCATCACATTGAAATTTTGGCCAAAACGAGAAACCAGGGAATTTAGTTTTGACTCATGATCAACGCTTCCTTTAAAGTCCACAGGCGTAGGATGCAGAATGTGCCAGACAAGGATAAACAGGCCATGCCAAGATTCCTAGTGCCGTCTAAGTCTTACAGGCACCAATTGCTTCTCATTTCAGGAGTTTTAAACAAAACAGAACTCTGAAGGTTCCTTAGACCTTCTAAATTCAGTACCTCTGGAATCTAGATGGTCGAGGATAGCAAAACATGAGAACACCACCACCTGCACGTTTCTCTCCAAGCCACTCACCATCCTGACTTGGAAATATATTGCTGTTTTTTCAGTGTCACTGCATCAAATCCTGGAACTCTCTTCCAAACAGCACTGTGTGTGTCCCTACATGAAATGGACTACAGCAGTTCAATGAATGCCAGGACACTTTAGGAAGCGCAGAGGAACAGAGGGATTTTAGAGTGCGTGTCCACAGAATGTGGCAGAAACAGGTTGACGGGATGATTAAGAAGGAATATAAGACACTTCCCTTTATCAGTTGCAGCCCAGATTATAAAAGCAGGGAAGTTTTGTCGGAGCTGTACAAACTTCGGTATGACCACAGCTGGATTACTATATGCAGTTCTGGTTCTGTAGGAAGGATGTAATTGCACTGGATGGGGTGCGAAGGTAATTCATCAGGATGAGATAGCAAGAACTGCAGATGCTGGAGTCAGCGTCAATACAGTGTGGAGCTGGAGGAACACAGGTCAGGTAGTATCAGAGGAATAGGAAAGCTGATGTTTCGGGTTTACACCCTTCATTAGGTCTCACCAGGACGTTGCCTGCATTGGAGCAGTTTAGCTATGAATAGAAGCTGGATAAACTCAGGTTGTTTCTTGTTTTCTTGTTTTCAGCGGCAGCAGCGTGAGCCAGGGTGTCGATGGGACGGTAAGGTTGTTTTTTTTTCCTGTATAAAAACTTACCTCGTGCAGCAGCGCGAGCCAGGGTGCCGACAAGATGAT